AGTTTGCATCATTTTGCTTGCTGGGTATATGTGCATATATATGTGAGTTATAGTTAAAATTATACGTGCGATTAAATATTGTATGATGATCAATAATAATAGTAGGATAATAGATAACAAAGTGAACAAATACACAATATGTAAAACACGGATGCCTGTTAGACTTGGTAATTTGTTGCTTTATTACTATCGATTCTTCGTGTATCATATCAGCGGGATAGAGAAATAGCACGATTGTCAATCTCTATTTGACATTATTTTTTAACAGTCCTAATCGCAGTTTCATAGATTAACAATTATATTATTAATAATTATATTATACTAACAATTATATTTTTTTAATTGTTATCGCGTAAGCACATATATATATAGTAAATATATGCAAGTAATACGTAATGGCGAAGTGCAAGATGATCAGATGAGTCCATCCCGCAGTAGACTCAAGTTCAGTTCCACAGACATCTATAAACGAAATATTTTTATATGTTTTCTTATATAAATATTATTATATTTTGTGTGAGAATTATATTTAGAGCAATTGTTAACATTTTGAAAATATGTTGGCCATTTTGTGACGCGCACATATTGAATTGTATATATGTGTATAAAAATTATTATTAAAATTATCATAATTAAAAAAGATATTGATTAAACTATTATAATTAATATAATAGTTTAATCAACATATTTTTTTTTTTAATATAATATATTTAAAAAACATAATATAAAAATGTTAAAATATATTTTTTGTAAAAGCTGTTAACATTTAAGAACATTTAAAATAAAAGAATAATTTTAAAGAATGATTAAAAAGAACATTTAAGATAAAAGAATAATTTTAGATAGCTTTTCATAGCTAATTAATGGTTTATTATGCATTTATTATACATATACATAAAATAAATTTTTTATACACATGTGTACGATATGTGTGTAGTTACAAAATGGCCAACATATTTAATTTTTGAGCTATAATCGTTCGAAAACACAAGAGACATTTACTGAGACATTGATAGACATTAAGTTGCACGTGAAAAAATTTTAGTCGTAACCGTAAAGCCGTAAGCGAATCAACCAATCACAGTTAAACATTCTTATTACATTTTTGGAATGAGTGTAATTGGTCGATTTGCTTACGGCCTTACGATTACAACTAAAACTTTCACGTGCAATGGCGTTTACTATTACATTTATAGAGATGAGTCCTTTATATAAGTTGTTTTTCAAATAACGGATTAATTATTTTTGTATTATTACTTTTTTTTTGCCTGATGCGGAAGGGGAAAATATCGACGCATATCCCGCGGCTGGCCGCGGGATTATATAGGATTTACACCCACTAAACCCCCTCCCCCCAATTTCGTGGCCATGAATTGTCGGAAAGTCTTAAGGGGTCTTCCTAGTTTGACGCTCTGAAAAAAAAGGCGATTTTTGGTAATTTTTTTAAAGAAAAGTATAAAACATATTAATTCCAAATTTTCCAGGTTTATTAAGTAACATTTCAAGTATTTCCTGAAATGTTTTCAAATAAAAATATTTGTTTGTTTCTAGGAAGATCCCTTAAGCCGTGTCCAGACTTGTGTCGTATCACCGTGGGCGCATTCCACTCAACGACCGCAATGCTCATGGTATCATTTCATCCTTGTTGTTCACCGAAAGTTAAACAAAGACAGATGATGCTCGCGAGCGTTGCGGTCATTAAGTGGAACGCGCCCCGTGTCGTATCATGATCGCATATCATCATGATACGGATATGCTGGTTATGATGATACGCCAAGACCTTATTTTCAATCCGTATCCGTATCCCGTATTTGTATCTTCTTTTTTAATATAATATATTTAAAAAACATAATATAAAAATGTTAAAATATATTTTTTGTAAAAGCTGTTAACATTTAAGAACATTTAAAATAAAAGAATAATTTTAAAGAATGATTAAAAAGAACATTTAAGATAAAAGAATAATTTTAGATAGCTTTTCATAGCTAATTAATGGTTTATTATGCATTTATTATACATATACATAAAATAAATTTTTTATACACATGTGTACGATATGTGTGTAGTTACAAAATGGCCAACATATTTAATTTTTGAGCTATAATCGTTCGAAAACACAAGAGACATTTACTGAGACATTGATAGACATTAAGTTGCACGTGAAAAAATTTTAGTCGTAACCGTAAAGCCGTAAGCGAATCAACCAATCACAGTTAAACATTCTTATTACATTTTTGGAATGAGTGTAATTGGTCGATTTGCTTACGGCCTTACGATTACAACTAAAACTTTCACGTGCAATGGCGTTTACTATTACATTTATAGAGATGAGTCCTTTATATAAGTTGTTTTTCAAATAACGGATTAATTATTTTTGTATTATTACTTTTTTTTTGCCTGATGCGGAAGGGGAAAATATCGACGCATATCCCGCGGCTGGCCGCGGGATTATATAGGATTTACACCCACTAAACCCCCTCCCCCCAATTTCGTGGCCATGAATTGTCGGAAAGTCTTAAGGGGTCTTCCTAGTTTGACGCTCTGAAAAAAAAGGCGATTTTTGGTAATTTTTTTAAAGAAAAGTATAAAACATATTAATTCCAAATTTTCCAGGTTTATTAAGTAACATTTCAAGTATTTCCTGAAATGTTTTCAAATAAAAATATTTGTTTGTTTCTAGGAAGATCCCTTAAGCCGTGTCCAGACTTGTGTCGTATCACCGTGGGCGCATTCCACTCAACGACCGCAATGCTCATGGTATCATTTCATCCTTGTTGTTCACCGAAAGTTAAACAAAGACAGATGATGCTCGCGAGCGTTGCGGTCATTAAGTGGAACGCGCCCCGTGTCGTATCATGATCGCATATCATCATGATACGGATATGCTGGTTATGATGATACGCCAAGACCTTATTTTCAATCCGTATCCGTATCCCGTATTTGTATCTTCTTTTTTTAATTTTTCACATAGCACGTCCGTATTTTTAGTTTTTTATTTTTAGTTTCTTATTTTTTATTTTTTGCAATGTTTGACCGATCTTCCGGTGCCACGCACGATTTCTTCCCATGCATCATTTTTTTTAAACGATTAAAATAATGCAGATTCATTGAATTCAAAAGAATGCTTCTTTGTTTATAAAAATCTATTAATACCATTACTTTTTCTTGTGATCACTTCATTGTGACCAGACATGAAGCAACCGTTAGACACGAAGCAACACGACTGAATAAAACGAGTCGTGCTACGTTGTCAGACCGAAACAGGATCTGGGTAGGATTGGGATAACGCATCTACATTGACTGTATCCGTATCACGTATCATTTCTTTCATGTTTCGGCGAAATACCGACTCCAAGTGGATCATGATATCGTATCGTATCGTATTGTATTTGCGTATCACCTTGATACATAGATACGCAGGCACGATACGGCGTCCCGTCCACATTTGACTGATCATGATATGCGATTATGATAGAATACGATGATACAACACAAGTCTGGACGCGGCTTTAGCTGCCTTCTCAGCTGTCGGAGGTGTCTTCGTCTGATGGAAGATGTAGCATTCGACGAGCTTCGGCTTATCGACGTCTCTCCTCCTCTTCCTTTTTCTGCATAACAATCACGGCGAATCATGAAAATGCGGCCCACGCTTCCTTTGATTCACAAGGGGAGGGCGCGACGTGGTACTAATCGATTTCAACGAAACTCGTTATAACAATAGATCCACGTGATGTATATTTATTTTGTGTAATAATTGCATTCTACTATAAAAAAATCTTTTGAAAAAAAAAGTTTACTCATCGGGACTCTAACCAGCAATGTCGACGCTACGAGTCTGGCACACTGCCGCTGTGCCACGCACATCTTTGATTAAACGCTCTATTCCATTTGCTCATAAGATGCTCGGGATTTTTTAATTTCGATTTTTTCGCGAACGCTTGAAAAGCACATCTTATCCCTTTACCCAATAATACTTGACATGAAGACCTAACGCTACAACGAGTTTCGTTGAAATCGATTGGTATCACGTCGCGCCTTTTCCTTGTCAGTGATTGATCTCATCACAATTGCAAGAGAAGGAGGAGCCTCGCCAATTTTTCTCTCTAACTTCTCTCTTTTTGTCGTTCACGCACTACAATTCTGAAGAGTATGTTCCGCAGAGTTAATCTCGTCCTCTTAACAATGAGCACATTTTGCGCTGTCCATCTTGTTTGTATTACTACTTAGTTTTTTTTGTCTTTTTTGAAAACTATGATTTTCTTATAAAGTAAAAGTATATAACTATAAATATACTGTTATATTATAATTACACTCTCTATGAGTTATAGGTTTATAAACACAAATATTATTATATATAGTTTATAAATATAATATGAAAAACATAAAAAACTAAAAAACTTTTAAAAGGGCATATTTTCGAAAATATTTTAAGTTTTGCAAATTGCTTGCCTACCTAACCTCGCGAATCCGAAAATTCTGATTTTTATGAAACTTTTATGAAACTAAAAAATGCTTTTTAACAATTTTTTCAGAATTTTTTGGAAAAAATAATTTTTTCCGAATGTTATTAATGTGGTTAAATAGAGGTGTTTCTACTATGAAACTTTTGTATAAAACATTTTATATCTCGAATAATTTTCGAAATATATCAAGAAAGCAAAAAACCGCTCTGTATATGAGGGGTAGTTTCACCATTTAGAATCGTTTTTGAGCAATAATAAAACTACACGCATGTAAACCTTTATCAAAATCAAAATTTTTAGGTTTGTGAGATTTCCCTTGTAAGTGCTACGATTTGTTAGATTTTTCATAACATATTACAAAATATAAATTTTTTTGTTTTTATAATTATATTTGTTTTCTATTCCGTAAGTAATACGAAAAATCGGTTTGCTTTTAATTTATATAACTGTGTTTTATATAACTGTGCATTTTACATATTTTATTTCAATAAATTTTTAAAATAATTTTAATTTTTTATTATTTATATTTTTTTTCAGAAAATTAGTCGTATATGATGAATGGAGCTCCATTACTATACATATTGCACTAGACAATACACTAATAATTAATGATATTTGTAAGTATGTATTTATATTAAGATCTTTTCTCTAGGTTACAGCAAATAAATAATAATAATAAATCACGATGAGATATAATAAAAGAAGAATTGTGGCATTAATCACTTAATTAGGAATCAGTTAAACACATTAATATATCACATACTTAATATGTTGATCTTATTATGCATATGTATTTAAAATTCTTTTCAAAGAATACACGTGTATATATACAGGTTGAGACTTTTTAATATTAACAGGCAAATATCTCAAAACCTGTAAGTTTTAGAAAGGAAGGTTTTTAGGCAAAAGTTATTTGATTCTGAAGGGGAAAAAAGATAGGAATATTAGTTAGATCTTGGGTGGCATTGTTAAAGTCATATCAAGATCACATTGAATTTTTTAAATTGGAACGTCTATTTTTTATTGCATATTCTTATAGGCATTGTCGAAGCCTTTTCAAAACACTATAATAAAGTATTTTTTCATTAAGTATTTTTCGAGTTATTTTATATCTTAATCTGATATATTTTGATATAAAAAATAAAATATCTCGTAAAATATTTAGGGTAAATATGCCGATGAAGGGAGGCAGTCCCGATGACCCTGACCTTGACATATGTTGTCAAGGTCATGACCCTGAACAACATTCAAAAGGTCATAGCCGTCGCTCGTAGTTTATTAAAAAGTTATTAATGAAGAAACTTTAATGAATAGAACATAATTTTACGACACCATGTACGTTTTAGAAGGGTTAAGGTTAGATATAGAGTGAATTTGGTTTCGTTTTGGAAAGTACATGCATGCACGCAGGTTCCGCCCTCCTATGGGGGGGCTCCACTTCCGGAAGATATAATCTAACCCAAACCTATTTCTGATTTAAAACTAAAATTTGGTTTAGATTAGGTTATATTTTCCGGAAGTGGAGCCCCCCGCAGGTGGCGGAACCTACTGCAAATAAAAAACGAGCGACGGCTAAAACCTTTTGAATGTTGTTCAGGGTCATGACCTTGACAACATATGTCAAGATCAAGGTCATCGAGACTGCCTCCCTTCATCGGCATATTTATCTTAATTTGTCTCATTATTCTGTACATCAAAATATTACGGTAAAATTATCGAAAACTAAATATTTTACGAGATATTTTATTTTTTATATCAAAATATGTCAGATTAAGATATAAAATAACTCAAAAAATACTTAATGAGAAAATATTTTATTATAGTATTTTGAAAAGCTCTCGAGATAAGCTACAAGAATATGCAATAAAAAATGGGGGTTTCCATTTAAGAAATTTATGATGACCTTCACGTGACCTTGACAACGCTATTCAAGGTCGTACTAATATTACTATGTAATGCGTTACTTGAAACCTTACAACTTTTGTCTGAAATATTTTTTTCTACATCTCACTCCTTCCGGGCTATTCAAAGAGTCCGGGACTTTTTCCCCACCCTGTATATAAGAAAAAAGTAAAATAAGGAAGCATTATAAAAGTTTGTTGTGTTATGTAGAGAAACTTATAATTAAATAATTATTATATATTCCAGATTATATTATTTTTTGTTAAGTGTCCTATCTGTCCATATATATGGCTTTGATAATATAAGGCTATAACATAATTTTTCTTGCTCTTATACAAATATCTTGTAAAATATTCAATTTTCGATAATCTTACCGTAGTACTTTTTTGTACAGAATATTGAGACAACTCAACTGGTATAAAAAAATAATTGTTTTTAAGAAAAATTATGTAATTATTTACAATGTATTTTTTAAAACAATTATTTATTTTTTTTTATACCAATTGATTTGTCTCATTATCCCGTACATAAAAAAATTACGGTAAGATTATCGAAAACTAAATATTTTACGAGTTATTTTATTTTTTATATCAAAATATGTCAGATTAAGATATAAAATAACTCGAAAAATTAATGAAAAAATATTTTATTATAGTGTTTTGAAAAGCTCTCAACCTAAGCTATAAGAATATATAATGGAAAATGAGGGTTTTCATTTAAGAAATTAAAGGTGACCTTCACGTGACCTTCAAACGACTATTCAAAATCAAACCGGTACCTTCTTATGTCCTCCTTCAAATCAAATAACTTTTGTCTAAAACATTTTGGGGGCTCCACTTCCGGAAAATATAACCTAACCCAAATCTATTTCTGATTTAAAACTAAAATTTGATTTAAATTACGTTACATAACTCAAACCAAATTTTCGTTTCGAATCTAACTTTAACTTTAAATATCTTAAAAATTATAAGAGACCGCCGATTAAGTTATAAGGAAAAGTTACTCAGAATTATGTCCTTGACAATATATGTCAAGGTCAACATCATTGGAGCTGGGTCCGTTATAGTAAATAATAACCCATTTTTTTAAAAAAAGCATGGTTTTCAAGATATTACGGTGTCAAAGTTAAAATGGGACAACCTTATATATACAGGGTGTCCAGATATTCAACCGACAAACTTTCAGAGATCGTCGGGGACATCCTAAGGATCATTTTTTGCAGATGGACCTAGGGTCCGTAAAAGTACCGCAATTAAATAGCAATGGCCGAACAAACAAGACGAGGAAGAACATATCGAGAGATTATACATGCTCAGAAAGCACATAAGGATTATGTTTCTATCTTCTGGCACTGACCTACAGGGTATAGTCGGCCACTGCTATTTAATTGCGGTACTTTTTGGACAAGCAACGCACCATGCGCTGTCTAAATTAAGCGTTTGTGACGTCACGTGCATGGCAGGCTGTCTTGCTCAAAGCTTGTGCCTTCGACATTCCCGATGTCGTAGCGATGTAACGATGCGTTTCCGACCAAAAAATGATTCTTAGGCTACCCCCGACAATTTCTGAAAGTTTGTCGGTTGAATATTCGAATACCCTGTATATAAAGGGTGTTCCATTTTAATCGCCCCAGGCAAATATCTCGAAAAATATGAAAGATATGGAAAAACGTTTCAGACAAAAATTGCATTTTGAGGGGGCCACATGATAAAAATATGGACTTGACCTTGAGTGACCTTTTCAAGGTGAGGTCAATGTGGTCGATGTTTTCTTAAATGAAACCCCCCATTTTTTATTGCATATTCTTGTAGCTTATCTCGAGAGCTTTTCAAAACACTAAGTATTTTTTCATTAAGTACTTTTTGAGTTATTTTATATTTTAATCTGACATATTTTGATATAAAAAATAAAATATCTCGTAAAATATTTAGTTTTCGATAATCTTACCGTAATACTTTTATGTACAGAATAATGAGACAAATCAATTAGCATAAAAAAATTGTTTTTAAGAAAAAGTATGTAATTATTTACAATGTATTTTATATACAGGGTGGTCCTCGTAACGGTCGCCACGATTTTTAAGGCACTTACAATAATCTGACATAAAAAAGTCATAAACAGAAATTTATCAGTTTCTAACCGGCAACAAATTGCAATAATAAAAATTGACCAAACATTTTTTTTCCATAAAAAAGCAAGGTTACCTTCATTTTTTTAAATGGAACCCCCCTTTTTTTATTGCATATTCTTGTAGCTTATCTCGAGAGCTTTTCAAAACACTATAATAAAGTATTTTTTCATTGAGTACTTTTTGAGTTATTTTATATTTTAATCTGACACATATTTTGATATAAAAAATAAAATATCTCGTAAAATATTTAATCTTTGCTAATCTTACCGTAATACTTTTATGTACAGAATAATGAGACAAATCAATTAGCATAAAAAAATTGTTTTTAAGAAAAAGTATGTAATTATTTACAATGTATTTTTTTAAACAATTATTACGAGACGATTAAAATGAAATATACAGGGTGTATCCTAAAAAGTGGGATGTATTGCAATGGGGGATTCAGGACACAAAAATAAGAGAAAAAGTTCATATAAACATATGTCCGATATGACCTTGTTTTCAAATTATAGCTTGTTTTATTTCCCAATAGAGTTAAGATAGCATACTTGGATATCGGTTTGCTGTTTGTGTACAAGATTTTGTGTACAAGACTTAAGGTCTTGTTAATTTGTAAACATAAACGCGTATTATTTGTGTTGTAAGTGATACGGTTCATATCTTGTGTTAAGTGAAGGTAAGGTATTCGTATCATACGTTAGTACTATTAACGATAGAAGTACGTTTAAGTGAAAACTATGGTTTGGTCAAATAATGAAATAAACCCGTATTTCGAAGACGCTCATCTATCCTTTGGAACATTTTTCTTTCAGGCAGACGACGATTCGGAAACGTTTCCGCATACAAAAGTCTAGCTCTGACTGCATTACCGTGGGCTAATCCATACATGAAATGTACGTCTGCCATTTCATTGTTTGACCAAACCATAGTTTTCACTTAAACGTACTTCTATCGTTAATAGTACTAACGTATGATACGAATACCTTACCTTCACTGAACACAAGATATGAACCGTATTACTTACAACACAAATAATACGCGTTTATGTTTACAAATTAACAAGATCTTAAGTCCTTTAAATCTTGTACATAAACAGCAAACCGATATCCAAATATACTATCTTAACTCTATTGGAAAATAAAACAAGCTATAATTTGAAAAAAGGTCATATCGGACATATGTTTATATGAATTTTTTCTCTTATTTTTGTGTCCTGAATCCCCCATTGCAATACTTCCCACTTTTTAGGATACACCCTGTATATGTAGCATTAATTATTTATTTATCTAATGATTTACTGATATCATATATACATTTGGTAATTATTTACATTAACGGACACCTTGTCGATGACCTTGACCTTGACATATGTTATCAAGGACATAATTCTGAGTGATTTTTTCTTCTAATTTTATCGTCGCTCGTTGCTTATTAAAAAGTTATTAACAAAAAAAGTTTTGTGCGCGCGCGCGCACACACACACACACACACACACGGGGGGGTGCGAGGGGGGCCTTCG